CAGTCATTGGAGCAGATCTCTCGCTACCGGCCGTAATTCGCTCCATGGCCGGTAGCGACAGTTGTTTTACCGCGGTCGCAACCTTCTGCGAGGAGGTAATCTCGCAGAAGGAGGCGGCGGAGAAGGCCCGGGAGGACGACCTCCACTCGGACCTGATCCGCCGCCGGCGAACCGGGCGGCGGAGGCGCGCTCACCTGCGCCTCAGCCCTGAGTGTGGCCGCGGGTGGACGGGATGGGTTCTCCCCTCCACCCGCATTAGTTGGCCAGCCGCGAGGGGGCGGCGTCCGCGTGTGCCGGACGTCGCCTAAAGAGAGGAAAAAAAAATTTGAGGCGGAGCCCGCAACAGGAGCGGGCTGGCCCTGGGAGGGGTCCAGAAGGCGATAACTACCTGGACCCCTCCTAAACTGGAAGCGCAAAGAGGGCACACCGTGTGGTTTTAGTCGGTTCGAGTCCGACACACAGCCCCGCCGAACGAGAGCCCTGGCGGGGTGACGGTCCGAGGGTATTTCCACACGTACAAAAAAAAAAAAAGGGTTCCTAATAAATACCTGCTGCCGAGGTTGGTATTCGATTTCAGGTTCTCTGGTCTTATTATGGTTGTCGACGGCTATATTATTAACTATGTCATAAACTAATTTCATCTGGTCACGGTGTGTGCATATACGTCTGTAATAGTCTGTTTTATCTTTATCGTTTGTGGTGAAAATAAACATATTTTTATTATTATTTATTATTATTAATAAGTGTTGTGTCACATCGATGTCTGTCGGGGATCTCTGGGGTCGAAGTGTCCTTTCAGTAAGTCGTAGGGTCGACATCTAGTGAGGCTATGGATGGAGCTATTGTACGCGATGATAGCACAAGGCATGAGATTTACTATTGATTCATTTTTCTGTTGTAACTTCAGTGTTCTAAGATGCTCAAGTATGGTTGAGTGGAATCTCTCGATATTAGCGTTATCGTTTGGCGAGCGGGGTTGGGTCTTATGATGTATGATTTTATGAAGCTTTATGAATTCCGCAAAGATTTGCTTCGTAAATTCAGTCCCGTTGTCTGTTACAATTGTTAGGGGGAGCCCATGGTGAGTGCAAAATGTAAGAAAGGCCTGTACAATACTAATCGCTGTGCCATCCTTTAAGGGATAAGCCTGTCCGTATTTCGGAAGTATTGGGTCATTGGTCATGGATGTAATTAGTTTCGTGATTCTAGCGAAGTCGGGAATAATTTTTTTGTAGTATCCTAATAAACCTAAAAACTGCTTAACTTCTTTAGTCGTCCGTGGTAAGGGGTATTTTTCTATGGTGGCTATCTTTTCGGGGTTAGGTTTAACGCCATCTCTTGTGATAACGTGACCTAAAAAATCGGTCTCTAGTTTCAGGAACTCTGATTTGTCCATCTGTATTTTAAAATTGAACTCTCGGAGTCTCTGAAAGACTTTTTCAAGATTATATGCTCTTGTACTAGTACTAGTACTAAAGACAATGATATCATCAAGGTACACCAGGCATACCTCGTTTTGTAGACCTCTTAATAAATTATCCATTACCCTTTGAAAGGTGGATGGTGCGTTTTTAAGTCCCATGGGCATTCTCAGGAATTCAAAGTGCCCATGTTCTACTGTAAAAGCCGTCTTATGAATGTCCTTTGGGTCCATTTCTACCTGCCAAAATCCGCTAGCAAGATCAAGGGTTGAAAAGTACTGACATTTGCCTAATTTGTCTAAAACATCTGTTATGTTGAGAATTGGGTATTTGTCACTGATGGTTTTGTCGTTTAACTTCCGAAAATCAACTACAAGGCGCCACTTTTGTTTTCCTGAAGCGTCTACCATTTTTGGTACTATCCAAATAGGTGAACTCCATGCAGATTCGGAAAGTCTAATGATACCTTGTGAAAGCATTTTAGTTATCTGGTCCTTGACCTCTTGTCTATGCGCGAAAGGGTACCGATAACTCTTGGTGTAGATTGGGGTTTAATCAGTTGTATTAATAATATGCTTTACTTTGTTTGTGAAAGTAAGTGGTTCATTGAATATATAGAAAACATCTGAATAGTTAGAACAGAGAGCTGATAAGTTGGCTAATTCTCCTGGATTTAAATGGTCAGTACGGAGACGCGCTAATACTTCTTGAGTTCGTGATGATTGTGGTTGAATATGAGAACAGTTAATGTTGAATACCTCGGCATTACAGGCTTGATCTAATGATATTATAATGTCGTTTTCTGTCGGATTAATTATTTCTACTATGCCCCGACTGCATACGACCTTCGTAACACAATCGTATATTATGCAATTACAAATTATTTGTTCAGGAATATAAACGTCGCCATCCGGAGCGTTAATAGGCACACGGATTAATTTAGAGCTCTGCGCGGGGATAATATCCTCATATAAATTGATATTTCGGGAGTTATACATCTGAATCGGGTTGGTTGCGGATCGAGTGGTTAGTGTTTGGTATTTTAAATCAATTTTCGCTTCCCATTTAGTTAACAGGTCCAGTCCAATGAGTCCGTCGAAGTAATCATGAAACTTGTATATGAATAGTCTTACTTTCTCGTTGTCATTAAATTCAGGGAATCCGGGCAATGTAATGGAATAGTTATCTCTAGTGGTGGCATGAACGTTAGTGATTTCAAAGGGGTCGTAATTTAATTGGTACCTTTGAGGCAAAAGTACCTTTGAACAGCCTGTGGGCTTATAAAAGACTGGTTAGCACCGGTGTCAATTAAAAATTTCAATGGTGGGTTATTTATTTGAATGTAAGGTAGTTGCCTCTGAGTCTGTAAAGGGGAATGCCCATTTTCGCCCATAAAACGCCCAACAATTTGCTTTTTTTAGAAAAAAAACATCTTATTTTCTGTTTATTAATTGGGGTATTCATTTATCCTGACAGGTCTGCAACATTTAAACAGAAAATAAAAGTACCGAAAAGATAAAAGTGAAATTACGTTATTCCGTATTTCATTGGTTTCTGGCAAAATATTAAGTGTTCCCAATTACTAATTTCGTTCAAAGAAACGATTATTTATAAAGCGATTATTATTATTTATGATGTCGGCTGTGTTTGGCAGAAAATAGCGCTAGGAAGCGCTTGTAAGCAAAATGGCGCAAAATGGTCGCTAAGCGGAAAGCGCTGTCCAATGACACATATATTTTACTATTTTTTGGACTGACATTATTATTTATTTTAATATTACTTGAAACTAATTGCACAAAACATCATATAAATTCTACTTTTAAAACAAACAAAATAAATAACAAACGTGTCCTGGCCGAAAACTGTGTCAGCGCTAGTAAGCGCTAATAAGCACTTCCTAGCGCTATTTTCTGCCAAACACAGCCATTATTTTATGACACCAGAATATGACACCATTTCAGTTGCTTCGGAGGACATAGACATCTTTTCTAATAGTCTGGGTAAATTAAAAAAAATGTTCGCACTCATATATTGAACACTGTGTGATTGTGGACGTACCTCCTTACCATTTAAATTTTGAATTTTAACTGCTGCTGATTTTCAATTTTTTGCACAATTGATTGTTATAATTCTTTCATTGGTTTTTTTTTTTCTTATTTACAAAGGCCAGTGGCCAGTGTCTTTAATCTTTTTTTGTAATGTCCATGTTGTGGTCTCCTATAATTGAGGAAGCACAAGACTTAAAATTTTATTTGCTTTATAACTAGCATGTAAGGTGTATATTATTGAATCTCCAACAAGAAGTTGGAGATTCAATAAAATAAAATAAAATAAAATAAAATAAAATAAAATAAAATAAAATAAAATAAAATAAAATAAAATAAAATAAAATAAAATAAAATAAAATAAAATAAAATAAAATAAAATAAAATAAAATAAAATAAAATAAAATAAAATAAAATAAAATAAAATAAAATAAAATAAAATAAAATAAAATAAAATAAAATAAAATAAAATAAAATAAAATAAAATAAAATAAAATAAAATAAAATAAAATAAAATAAAATAAAATAAAATAAAATAAAATAAAATAAAATAAATAAAATAAAATAAAATAAAAATTAAGAATATCGATTTTCTTGTCCACGTCGGTAGCTGCTGCCACACTCATCCAGTTTATCCTCGCGGCGTCAGCGTCTAGTTTTTCAAGATCCATGCGCTGGAAACTGCGAACCCGTAGAATTTTGGGAGGTGATTTAGGAGTTTTTAGGATGTAAGATAGGAAGATCAAGTCGTGGTGGGAAAAACCGGGGGCCGGGAATTGGCCGTGGGAAGAAACAAAGTTTGGGGAGGTGAGCATTAGGTCGAGCCAAGTATCCTGGTGTTGAATGTTGTGGTGAGTGGCTTGAAGGGGCAGGACGTGGAGGCTGGTTGATTGGATAATGTGAAGGAGATTGTGTGTACGGGAGGAGTTTGAGGCTAGGAGGTCTGTGTTGAAATCTCCCATGATGATGTGATGTGAGTAGTCCGACCCTAAAGATTCCAGTGTACTAATATAAGATAATTAGGTTGCGTATTAAAATGTAAAAATCTATTAAAAGAAAAAAATAAACTAACAAAATATACTAAAGCTACTAAAAATAATACTAAAACTACTAAAGATACTACTATCAAAATATAATGTGTAAGTTTGAATAGTGTTTATAAATTCAGTCTTTATGATGAATAGACCGGGGTTGGTAGATCGTAGTTCCACACCACCCACCAGCAGGCACAAACAAAATAAATGTAAATTTACAACAATCAATCTGCAGTATAAATCAGACGGTAGTTACAAAAAAGGATTTAAAAAAAAAACAATTGAAAAATTAACAAGCAAAAGGAAACAATAAGACCTCACAGACACTTCCACTACAGATAGCAACATTCAGTACCGTACTGACGTACGTACAACAATTGAAATGACAAGGTCAGATTTGTATTAAAGACTCCGAAAAGTTAGTACGCATCCAAACTGGATGATGAACGACACGACACAGACACTTCCACTACAGATAGCAACATTCAGTACGGTACTGAATGTTGCTATCTGTAGTTGGAACTACAAAATCTCATCGGTCAGTTGTGTCGTCGCCCGCGCATTGTGTAGTTGTGTGCTGGACCGTCAAAGCCGTTAAGGTAAATATACCCTTTTTTGCTTACGGTTCTGGAAAGACAAAGTCACATTTGATGTACTTATGCCTATTATACGGACACATGTTTGGAAGAACAAAGTCGTTTAAGCAGTTGTGCCTTTGTATGTCCAATATGTAAACTTTTCGGAGTCTTTAATACAAATCTGACCTTGTCATTTCAATTGTTGTAGTATTTAGGTAGTTATTTATTTGTTTATTTAAATTTATGACTTTGTCATTCCAAATTGCTTATCTATTATTTATTTTTTTGTTATTCTTGCGTATGATATTAACTATTACTCAAGGTTATTATGATTATATTTTTGAACTTTTTATTGAGAAATCAAACTTGGATTCCAATATTTACATAATGTATGACATTATTATATTTTTTTCAGAACAAAATGGAATCTCGATGCAGAAAAATTTCAAGTATGGTTCTTGATGATCAAGCCAATAGGCAGACCGAGGCTACTGATAAGCCTCAGACTCCTGAGTGTTTAGAAAACACCCGTGTTAGTGAAAATGATCACAATACGACAATAACTACTCCAAACGTTAATTCATTGAAGGGTATGAAAATTCCATTATTTTTGCGGACTTCTAGATTACTTATATTACCTTTATATTTAAAATTTATAATCAAAATAGATTAATATTGATATTTATTTTAAGATTCGTCGAAGAGAACAATGGTTGAAAAATGGATAGATTGTAATGACTTTGAAAATCAGGATCCTATTCTGTTAAACAGTGAGACTTCAGAAGCAGTAAATACACCCATGATAACTGCATCGGATACAAATGATATTATGGTTGAGAAATGCATAGACAGCAACGACTATAAAATTCATAATCCTATATTAGTGGATATTTCGGATGGAGTAAACCCACCCATTATAAAAATAACCTCAGGTATAAATGCAAACCAAATAATATTAATCTAGTTGTATATTATTTATGTTAATTGACAAACTCTATAGATTGTAATTAAATTAATTAGAAGGTAATATTGTTGTACGTGCTATTTATATTGCTAATTAAATTAATATTTCTGTTTTTAAGGTAATAAGGCTTCTGATTCCTCAAATAATGGAGATTTTTCACCATCGGAAGGTTCAGAATATAAGCCTCCAAGTCGTGCGAGAGAGATTGAACGTAACACTAGATCTTCCCAACCTAGAAACTTGACCAGTTCTTCTAGTACCAGCAGCAGCTCATCCAGTTCCAGCAGTAGCTCTTCTAGTTCCTGCACCAGTTCTCCTCAGCCTAATATGGTTGACTTGGAAAATAATGAATGTAATATTAAAACAGAACCAACTTTCCGCGTAAATGAGGATAATTTTGTGCTAGAATCGAATAAAAAACGGTCTAGAAAACGTCAAAGAAATATGAATGAGTGGAAACAAGTTATATCGAAGCGTTTAAAGAACAGTGGCCTAGTAGTGAATTACTTATTTGTTTTTGTTTAAGGTTACAAATATCAACGATGATACAACATTATGCTTTTTCTGGCATGAAGGTCTCGCAAAACGTGGAGCTAATGAGATAGGAACGTGCGTCTACAAGTTTTTGGAAGAACTAAGTTATAAACAACCTGATAAAGATATCATATTTTATTCTGATAATTGCTGCGGGCAGCAAAAAGAATAAGTAAGTATCTTACATCATGAGTTTATCTCTAACTACTTGCTTGTTTGTTACTTTGATCATCACAATTCCAATATTTTTTTCACATAATAAATGCCAACTTTAATTTTAGATTTGTTTTCGGAATGTATTATTATGCTGTTAATACATTGCCCATCAAATCAATTACTCACAAATTCCTCATTAGAGGACATACTCAGAATAAAGCTGATCGTGTTAATTCCGTCATTGAGAAGAACATTAAACGGGCTAAGAAAGCACTACCTATATACTCTCCAGTCGAATATATAAGTCTCATCAGAAACGCAAAAAAACGCGGCAACAAATTTATAGTCAAAGAAATGAACTTCGATTCATTCTTTGATTTAAAGCTGTTAACTGATGAAGTTAACTTGAATCTTAACAAAGATAATGTCAAACACAACAGAAATAATGTCAAATTATCTGAAATGAAAGCCATAAAGTTCACAAAAAGTTCAGAGACATACCAATTCAGAAACAGCTATAAATCAGTCACCTGGACAGAAGCGGATGTCAAAATAGGCCGGACTGCTAATAGAAAACAGCTGAAAGACATTACATTAAATGTGTTGTACACTGAAAAGTTGCCGATCCCCGATCGGAAAAAAGAAGACATTCGTCAACTGATTGCTTCAAACATTGTTCCAAAGTTCTATGAACAGTTTTATAATGGTTTATTTTAATGACACATTCCAAGAAAAAGTTTATTGTTAGTTACGTAAAATTAGGTACTTTAAGTGAGGATTACGAATATACAAGATTTTTGCAAAATAGAGTATTGTTTTTATTACATAAATCATATAAAAAGAATGTGATACTAGGGTCATAATTACAAAATTATTTAAGTTTTGGTGCAAAAAGGGCAAAAGTGAACATCAAAATTATTATTTCTTTAAATTATCGTACATGTCGGAGGGAATTATCGTCTGTTGTAACACCGGTGACGGTGGACGATAATCCTGAAGTTCTACGCCAGTTTTCGACCCTTCTTCAGTCATTTCCGACTTTGGTTGATTGATTGATTTCACTTTTAATAATTAGCACTATTTAAGTTGCAAATCAATAAAATAAAATAATTGAATAAAATAATTATAATTTATATTCAAATAATACACAGCAAATAATAATTACAACAAGATCTAAATAAACACTTATTACGACTCAGGTGTGAACCGTGTCACAATTTAGGTGTCGACGGAGCGAGCGCCTCGATGAAACTGTGTCTGTCTGCACTGCGTGCTCCTTTTTATTGGCGGCGGTCGGTCCGTCCCCACCTCGCCTGACTCGGGGAGTGGTACGATGATGTTACTCAAAAATGTGCGGGTAATCTTGAATAACTTTGTTATTCAACGCCGACACGGCCATTCTGCAGAAAGGTCGCCTCCGACCTACAAGAAAAAGTTAATGCGCCGTATAATGTAATATTACTCAGATTCTAGACGCGAGTATAGACATGCAAAGAGAATTCTCTTTACCTCTGACCTCAATGTACATAAACTATTGCGAAAGTAAGGAGGCCCCTGTCCTCTACTTACATCTTTCACTACAGCAGTAAGGAGCTCACGAAGACAACATTTTATTGAAAGAGTAAGGAGGCCCCTGTCCTCGACTTACGTCTTTCACTACAGCAGTAAGGAGCTCACGAAGACAACATTTTATTGAAAGAGTAAGGAGGCCCCTGTCCTCGACTTACATCTTTCACTACAGCAGTAAGGAGCTCACGAAGACAACATTTTATTGAAAGAGTAAGGAGGCCCCTGTCCTCGACTTACATCTTTCACTACAGCAGTAAGGAGCTCACAAAGACAACATTTTATTGAAAGAGTAAGGAGGCCCCTGTCCTCGACTTACATCTTTCACTACAGCAGTAAGGAGCTCACGAAGACAACATTTTATTGAAAGAGTAAGGAGGCCCCTGTCCTCAACTTACGTCTTTCGCTGCAGCAGTAAGGAGCTCACGAAGGCAACATGCATAAACGGAAAAATATTGAAATGGTTTTGATTACCCTTATTTCTGCATAAGTTCTCCCTAAACTTCAACTGGATCGGAAGTGCCACACTAGACTTCATTTATTGCTGATGTCACGTTAGGAGCATCTTGCGCCGACATGTCGTCCTGAGTTATGCATTCGTTTGGTTTGGGTGCAATCCGAAGTTGGTCATGAGCTACTTTTTTCGGGCGTCCACGTCCCGTTATCTTCTTCACTTGATAGCGATCGTTTGGTAGTATTTTCCAAATTACATAAGCATCTGGGTATTTCAGGTCAAGTCCAATTTGGGACCTAGGGTTAGCCTTGAATAAGACGATGTCTTCCTTTTGGAATCTTTTGACTTTGGCTCTACCCTGATCAAATCTTGCCTTGTCTTCTTTTCCTCGTATGTCAATTTTCTTTTGTATGTAGCTGTCTAGTTGATCTCGACTTACTGTCCCTTCTTCGTCGATCAAGGATATTAAATCTGGTGGTACAGCACATTGTCTTCCGGTGAGAGCTTTGATTGGACTTACATTCGTTGTCTTATTCTTGGTACAGTTCATTGCCAACTGAAGTGCTTCCAGACCCTTCTTCCAGTCTTGAGTTTCGTAATTACGAATTACAGTTAATCCATTTTTTACAACGGCCATCATACGTTCCACCTGTCCATTGGCTCGACTACATCCTGGAGCTATGAAATGCTGGTAAATGTTATGATTTTTACAAAAATCTTCAAATTCAGCTTTAAAGGCAGTGTCTTGATCACTTATGATTTGTCTTGGAGCTCCAAACAGAGATACAATATGCTTGAGTGGCCGCAGCATTGAATTGGCAGTCTTATTACTCGCATAGGTCAAGGTGACAAACTTAGTATAGGCGTCAATAATAACCACAACGTATTCATGTTTGTTGTTCCTTCTGGTGAGATGTCCAGTCATATCTATGTGTGTAGTGTCAAAAGGAACAGATTTCTTCTCTATAGGATACATTTCTACCTGCTTAGCTCCAGAAGGACCTTTACTGGTTTTGCATATGACGCAGTTGTCTATAAATCGTCTTATTGTTGTTGACATTTCGGGAAACCAGAAGCATTCTCGAATTTTACTAAGAGTCTTTTCCCATCCAAAATGTTTTAGAGCGGTATGATAAGCATTAATAATACTCCATTGGTATGATTTTGGGACAATCTTTTTCCATTTTTTGCATCCAGGTTCTTCTTCATCGTGATAGCGCTCCAAAACAAGATTATTCATGCGGTACTCACTCATTTCCTCCTTGTGTTCTAACTTATTTATAATTCGAGCCAACTCTTCATCACGCCGTTGCTCAACCCTTAACCATGCATCGATGTTTTGAGCCAGATTAATGCATGCTACAGGGTTACGGCTAAAAAAATCTGCATGTTTCATTCGACATCCTTGGCGGTATTCTATTTTAAAATCGTAATGCTGAAGAAACGACCACCATCTATGAATTCTCGGTAAGAGTTCATGTTTACTTGATGACGACTTTATGGCATTGCAATCAGTAACAATTTTAAAAGATCTACCGTAGAGGTACTGCCGGAAGTGTTTTATTGCTCTTACTATGGCAAGAGTTTCCAACTCATAAGAGTGGTAATGGCTCTCTGGTTCGGTGGTTCTCATACTCATGTAGGCAATCACATGCTGTCGGCTGTCCTGTATTTGCATGAGGACGGCTCCCAATCCAGCGCTACTTGCGTCCGTGTGTAGTTCGATGGGAAGTCCTTCTTGAAAAATTATTAGAACTGGCGCCGAAGTTAATCGACGAATTATATCGAGTCTGACACTTTCGCATTCAGCGGTCCATTGAAATTTTGCGTCCTTTTTAGTTAGGTTGTACAGTGGAATCAATCGTTCAGAGAACGAAGGTATAAAACGTCTAAAGTAACCAGCTAAACCACAAAATTGACGTACCTGTTTCACGTTTGTAGGTACTGGTGTTTTTTCTAAGGCATCTACCTTCCTTGGACTCGGACAAACTGTACCTTTGAAGATCAAATTGCCAAGATATTCAATCGATATCTTAAAAAATGAGCACTTCTCCGCGTTCACAGTAAACCCAGCATCGGCTAATGCTGCTAAAACTTTGTCCAAGGTCTGCAATCCTTCTGTGAAGGTTTTGCATTTTATCAAGACATCGTCCATGTAGACCAAGATGTTATCCAATAAGGGCCGTAATGCAGTCGTTATAGCACGCTGAAACACAGCTGGTGCGTTCATCAGACCAAACGGCATTCTCACGTATTCATATAGTCCATCTGGCGTAATAAAGGCGGTTTTTGGCACAGATTCTTCTTTGACTGGTATTTGGTAGAAACCCTGCGCCATGTCTAAAATGATGAAGTAGTTAGCATCTGATAGTCGATCGATCTGATCCGAAATGATCGGAAGCGGGAACTTAATAGGGATAGTATTTTTATTCAATTCTCGATAATCGGTACACATTCGATCTTTTCCGTTTTTCTTTTTGACAAGAATCACTGGACTGGCGTAATTTGACACACTTTCTCGGACAATTCCATTAGTAATCAATTCATTAATGACATTTCTTAATTGTAGACGCTCGACTGGAGCCATTCGGTATGGTCTTCTAGATACTACTTTAGCTGGGTCTTTCAGCTGAATCTCCAAATTGCCTGTTGTGACTTGTTTTTTAGGAATACCAGTAGAAAATATCTCACTATATTTCAGTAATACTTTTTTCAACTCACATATTTCCTCCGCATGGGTCAAATCAGTGTCCAAGTTTGCTAAGGGATCTTCGGTTGTACTGACGTTGGAGATACTCGACTGTCTTATCATGGTGGCTCCTCTTTCAGTAATGAGGATAGAGAGGTCTGTACCTCTCACTATTTCTGCTCCTATCAAAAGCCCACAAGGTATTTCGTGGTCTTCTACAATGTGGAATGCAATTTCTAGGAAAATGCCATCTATGTCACACATAACGTTAATTCTTTGGCAGGATAAGAGTGGCATACTTTCACTACCAATACCCTTCAGCATCAAATTACAATCTTCACGTTTTCCGGGTATAGACTGACTGATCGAACGCCTCATTAAAGAGCGTGCAGCACCACTATCATACAATGTGGTGTATCGGTGATTATTAATTTTAATGATCATCGGTGTTAGCATTTTTTCTTGTTCTCCAGCTAGATTAATTTTTTCGGCTTCATCGCTCATTTTCTTGAAACAGTTGGATTCATAATGACCAGTTTTATCACAGTAGCTACATTTGGGCTTAGAGCGTTCTGTTCGGTTCAATGATTTGTCTATGTTACTTGTACTCAGCAATGGCTTAGGGTCAGTCATCTTTTCGTTACCCTTATCGCAATGTGCTTGCACATGTCCAGGTTTGCCACATTTAAAACAAAGCGTATTGTCATCTCTATTGTTTTTCAGTCTTGGTCGCTTAGCAGGTGGTTCACCTTGTCGAGGTTCTCGCTGTCTGAGTGTAGCTGCTACAGAAATTAGTTCAGGTACCGAAGAACATTTACTAGATAATAGACGTAACCGAAGAAACTCATTGTCTATGCAGCCAATTACAGCTTCTACAGCGTCTTTATCCTTGTCACCATTAATGATTCGCTTCCAGATATTCCAAGCCCTAGTGATTGATTCAGCTGGGTTTGACATCTCAAATTTAAAACACCGCAACTTCACTATGTCGTTTGAATATCGTGCTTCGGGCTCAAAGGTCTGTATTAACGCTTCTCGCATGTCGGACCAAACAGGTGATTAACTAACTAACCATGTATCTCCAAGACTTTTGGCCCGACCTTGTAATAAGCCAGCTATTTTTGTACAGACTTCGTAATCAGTCAGTTGCCAATGGGTTTTTGCCCTGTCCACGTGCTCACACCAATCTCGTACTGGTACATCACCGTTAGGATCAAACGGCGCGATATAGATATCGCTAAGTTTTGGTCGTTTTGTTGGAGCCACAGCCCGGTTTAGTAAATCTGTGAAAATCTCGTGATTAGCCTGCATACTTGCTTGCTGCTGCCGGGTCAGGGTTTCTATGATACTAGCCAACGCAGAGAGTGTCTGGTTAGCGTCATAGTTATTGCCACCTTCTTGAGTGCGTGCAAATGGAGCTGAAGAGGCCCCATTGTTGATCCCACTTCTGATGTCGGAGGGAATTATCGTCTGTTGTAACACCGGTGACGGTGGACGATAATCCTGAAGTTCTACGCCAGTTTTCGACCCTTCTTCAGTCATTTCCGACTTTGGTTGATTGATTGATTTCACTTTTAATAATTAGCACTATTTAAGTTGCAAATCAATAAAATAAAATAATTGAATAAAATAATTATAATTTATATTCAAATAATACACAGCAAATAATAATTACAACAAGATCTAAATAAACACTTATTACGACTCAGGTGTGAACCATGTCACAATTTAGGTGTCGACGGAGCGAGCGCCTCGATGAAACTGTGTCTGTCTGCACTGCGTGCTCCTTTTTATTGGCGGCGGTCGGTCCGTCCCCACCTCGCCTGACTCGGGGAGTGGTACGATGATGTTACTCAAAAATGTGCGGGTAATCTTGAATAACTTTGTTATTCGACGCCGACATACAAATTATAAATACTTTTCTCCTGTAAAGTACATACCTAAATTCGCAAAAGTGTAAGGCTTATTTCACCCAAAAACTATATATTACTTAAGATCAATTTAAGCAGACAAACTCGATATTATTCTACAAAAATCATAAAAATGTCTCTAGTGAAAAATTACAAAACGTGCATTTGTGCCCTTGTACCACCGATGGTGCGACTTGATCTTATAGTGTGTAGAAGTAGACCGTGAGCAAGATGGTAATTGCTTGTGAAGACAGATAAATGTGCTGTAGTGTAACTCTATTATTGTTTCCGTGAACTTTTCGTGGCTATGAACTAGCTTTCGGCGGGGATTTTGCCTTGGGATATTTAGCTATCAGGGGTGCCAGCTCATCCGGTGAAGTAATCTTATGACGGCTGGTTTGATAACAATGGCGCCATCCTGAGTCCAGCAGGCTGACATACCAAAATGTTGCCGAGCCATGCTGAATGTCGTTTGTCGGGTTCTAGTCAAAAATTCTCTCACCGAAAAGCCGGTTCCCTTCAACGTCGTCTTCGCCTTCCAGACAGCAGCTCGAACCTCCGCCGAAGAGAATCTGACGAGCACCGGGCGGCGACGTTCCTTTGATGGGGTACCCATTCGGTGACAGAGCTTGAATCAAGGTGCAGTGATGTCCTTAAGGCCCATCCTCTGATTGAGGATACTGATAATTGTCTTGCTACAATCGGGCACTCCCAGGAAGATAAGTGCCTTGCGACGATGGCGAGTCTCTATGACATCTACCATCTTGGTACACTCATTAATTTGTTTCCGTAGCAGGCCCAACAGGTTAAGCATGAGCTCTCGGAACGCCCTAAATTCTTCGGAAACTCGGGCAACAGTATCCTTGGAGTTC